TTAAGAAACTTATAAGTTTTTTTGCAAATACTTGCAACGTTCGGTTTTACATAATTTTTAATAAGGAACCGTACGGTTGGTGTAGGGTCGCAATTGAAAGTTAAAAATTCTGATTTAATTGATTTATGGATTTCTATAAAAATTATTTTTCACATCCTCAGCCAAAATGAAGTATAGTGTATTAAATAACATATAGGTGCAACTTCGATTATTGATGAGGCAAAAAATTCTAAAGAATTCGAAATATAGTCTACTAATAAACTCATACATACCGTTGGATTCAGAATAAAAAAACGCTTTTACTGATCCAGAAATAAATCAAAATTTTCACAAATGTCGGAGTGGGGGGTGGAGGGGGTAATTTAAATAAAAAATTTTTTTTGTAAATTTGTCGGTATCGGTTTATAGGCCTCTAAAAACAGTGTAATGTTTGTTTGAACATTTTTTTGAAATCTCTAATCGTTTCCGAGCAAAAGTAAAAGGGGCGGCTCGGATAAAAGGGTTAATTTCTCCCTCAAAACGCAAAATTCGCACGTACCGAGGATGGTGTAATTCATAAGAAGGTCCCACAAATAAGTATACAAAGATTCATCAAAATCGGAGTTTGTTAATTTTTTGTTAAATTTGTTAATTTTGTTGTGATTTTATTAATGTTTATGGTTGATTTTAATTTTTTTTATGAATAAATACCAATATATTTATTTTAGTAATGAAATTTTGATTTTTGTCTAAAATTATGCTATTTGTCCGCACTGTGCGTCGCCAAAATTGACCAGCGAATGGAAACCGTAACTAAAATTCGACTGTGTGCCCGACTAATCGCCGCGTAATTGAAAGGACGAATTGTCACGCTCGCGAAAGCGTGCCAGGGGTCGGCAACATCGACGGTTCGTTCGTCGCGGCACAAAAACCGTGAATTCACGGAACGAAACAAAGGGCCAACAAAAATGGTCCCGTGTTTTCCGTTCGAGGGTCAAAGGAGCTCGACAAAGAGCCCCGAAGCACTCCGTGAAACATACGCGCGACTCGAAATTCCGAAAATTCGGCGAAAATGACAGGGCCAGCGCCACAGTTACGGTTGGCCGAGAACGTTACGATAAAAAAGGCGCAGAACCGTAACCAGGGCTTCTCTCTGTCAATTTTTTGGATTTCCTGGTCCCTGAGAGAAGATAAAATAATACCATCGGTTCGAATTTGAGAGGATGGTACATATTTGTCTCGTTAGATTTCGGAATAAATTTGGCGAGGGTGGGGAGATATTATAGGAAACAGTAGTCTCGATAGATTTCAAAATAAATTTGGCGAGGGTGGATAACATATTATTAAAGAAGATATCATATTTTATTTTGAAGGAAGTAGTCATTTTTTAGTATTCTATTTTAATTGCTTCCTTCCTTTGAAATTTAAGAATTTATTTAGAATAAATTTGGCGGGGTTGGGGAGATATTATTATAGAAAGCAGTAGTCTCGTTAGATTTCAAAATAAATTTGGCGAGGGTGAATAAGATATTATTATAGAAGGTGTCATATTTTATTTTGAAGGAAGTACTCATTTTTTAGTATTCTATTTTAATTGCTTCCTTCCTTTGAAAGTTAAGAAATTATTTAGAATGAATGTTGTGAGTGTGGGGAGAGATATTATTATAAAAGGCGTCATATATTATTTTAGAGCAAGGACTCTATTTTTCATATTTTATTTTAAGTGATATCTGAAAAGGAAAGTGAATTACTAAGTAAACTCCGCATAATTTGTTTCGTAAAATATAGCTCCTTCTACTGCTCCCTAAAATTGAATGGTAACAATGTCCTGTACATAGAAGTTACCATACAAAATTTCATAATTTTCTAATAATCCACTCGTGAGATATGCTGCAAAACAGATACCGAAATATGTACTAATCGTGCATGAAGAGTTTGCTTCATTAGGTACAATGGGTCCCATATATTCAGGGGCCTTTCCCCAGAGAGTAGGGGACCAGTTATGCACACAAGCCTAAGAAAACTACACCCAAACGACTACAAAAATCTTAAAAAAAAAAAAAAAAAAAAAAAAAAACTACAACTAAAAGCACAGAAATTTTCGAGAAGCCCAATCACAAATGAAAAAACGCTTCAGTCGACATTTAGTCGAGGTTAAACATTGACCGATATCATAACGCTCCCTCCTTCATATTCAATACCAGCCAGAAAAACAAAGGAGTGGAACCATGGCCAGCGTTCCGCCCCCTCCAGCCTGGTTTTTTTATCGCACAGACTGCTCCTAGCCGCTGTTTTCCACAGTCTACATACGACCAGAACGACATCGGTACCGTAGGGGGTGGTTGGGAAGGTGGGGGAGTGAACGTTTGACATATTTTGTCCGGAGAACCGACAGATCAGGGACGAAAGCTGGCGTACGAGAAAGGGTTGGGGAGCACCGGGGCACCTCTGCTTCTGACGTGGAGATTAGTGTCCGCCATTGTGGTGACGTCACCATAGTTAACACGCATTGAAAACGGTCGGGAAACGGACCGGGAAATTATTGACCGGTCTCGCGATTTTCTCAACCCCCTCGCTGCTTTACTCGCGATTTTCTTTCGCCTTATCGTCGCTGTCCGAGCATTCGTTTCCGTGGGGGAGGGGCAAGGCGGATAGGGAGAGGGAGGCAAGCAAAAAGGCTCGCGAAGGGTAACCAGAGAAGTCAGAGGGGGCGGATGATCTATCGTCGCGGTCGAATCCCGGTCGACGGTCGACTACCCGCGAACGTGGCAGAAGTCAGCCGCCGGTTGACAGATGAATGTGCCAGAGAGAACAATGGTGCCGACCAAAAATTAACGGCATTGTCTTAACTTCGAATTCGCACGGCTGCCGGGTGGTGTTTGCTCGCGCCGAGTCGATTACCGCGAAACAGGGAGACGACGATGGTATAGCTGGCGATGCGGACGAGAGAGAGAAGCCTCCGTAAGGGGGGCTTTCGATTACGCGGCAACGACGACGGATTGTCCCCGACGTTACTGCCGGATTTCGAACTTTATGACGTGTATTTTGGTTTTGACGTGTTCGGGAGATGTACGAGCCGCGTTGAACGCGTTTACGACGTGCTCCTTGTTTGGTCGGGATAAAAGTTAGGAGGTGGTAAGTCGGGGTAAGACCAGGTCTGGGCTGGAAGTTATGAAGCCGAGCTGTTTGAAGAATTTTTTTTTGATAAATTTAATGACGTTTAAAGTCCATAGATAGAAAATACAGTAATAATAAGGTTTTGATGAAAAGGTATCCATTTTGACATCTTCTAGACAAGGCAGGTCCCATACATTCAGGAGACCGTTTCCGAAGGCTAAGGCCACGGTTACTATAGATGCGAATTCGGATGAAAATATGTTCGGACGAGTTCTGACAAATTCATTCGAACAAACAAACAAACAAACAAACAAACAAACTACAACTAAACGAATGGGGCGAACTTTGCCTTCAGGCACAAACTTTTAGCCTGTAACTATTACATACTTAGATAATAAATATTAACATCTGTATATAGAGATCTGTTTCATGAATTTAATACCACCCACGTCTCATTTACAGAAGTTATTATATAAAGAATTTTCTGGTAAAAAGGTATTCTCTCATACTGTTTAGATAGTCTTGAGATACGAAGCAAAACAAGGTCTGACAGATGTAGTAGTTGTAAGTGAAGAGTTTGCCACTGTAAGCAAGGCTGGTTTCATACATTCCAGCGTCACATGTTTTTGTTAACCGAGATTATCTTGAAGATTGATATTTAACATATATAAGACTTGATTGCCTATCGTATTTTGAACGCTTTCATTTGTACAAAAGTGGTGCTCGGTTTGAAATAACTTTGAAAATTGAATGATAATAATGGTGTACATTCGTTATTGCAGTTGTAGTAATTTATTATTGCAGCTACAGCATTAATTTTATTTCTTTTATATTCTTATAATAAGAAAACCGGAGTTTATTCTAGAAATGAAAAGGAAGTTAATGAAAATGAGAAAAGAATGAAAAGAAAATGCAGATGAAAAATAATTACATGGAAAATAGATGAAATGGACCCTACTTTCAGAAGACCAATATCTGAACACCTTAGTACTGTAATTCCAGCTAACAGAAACTTATTATTGGGGTTAGAATATTAATCTTATTCGTTTCATTTTCCTTGCATTTTCTTTTGTCAATTAGTAAGTATTTCACCAACTGCAATTTTGTAAATTCTGCAAACGAGAAGGAAATGGAAAATGGAAGAAGAATAAAACGAAAGAAGAATAAAAGGAAAGTCTACTTTCAGAGAACCAATATCCTAGTCCCCTTGGTACTGCAACCAAGCGTGCACTGAAGCACCTGGTTGACGAAAACAGGCTTACCTGTGTCCCGAAAAGTGCTGTCAACCTGCATCGCTAGATGGCGTGGCGCACTTCTATCGAAACTGCAATTCGCATTTTAAACTCATAATCAGCAAAGTTACGACATCAACTCAACAATTTGTTGCGTAATTCTTGATAAATAATTCTATTCCTTCGAGTAAAAGCTAACTCTGGACACAGTTTCTGGATCAAAAAACCCGACTCATTATGCAATAAACGTAATAAGCGTCCAACGACTTAAACAATATATATATAACGAGCTTTTTATAATCCGCGAAGACCTGAGAATTATTATTTTCTAATATTGGTTCCTTTTAGACAATTCACTTGAAACGGTGTAACGATACAATTTTTATTTTATCTTTTCAGAAAGAAGCTATTTCTAAGTTACTCAAATACCTACTATGATGCTCCAATTATTTTCAGATCAATGAAAAAACAACTATAAGCCATCAATTTTTGAAATTTGATTTACATTTATGCTAAATTTAAAGATATATTTATTCTGCATGATAAGAATACTCCTCTCTGTACCAAGCAAAGGTTTCAAAATGTGCGATATTTCCATGGAATATTTTCCAAATAGGGAGATCAGGAGGGACGTGAAACACGAAGCCAGTGTGAATGATCAGAAACGTGTAATTTAAAAACAATGTGGTTTATTTGAATCGCACAAGACATACACCGTATCTGCTATGTTTATAATTAGGGACTTCCTCGTGGTAAAGTCGGTCAAAGACTTGTCGCCGTTCTTTGGCCGCACTTCGCCCGAAGACGCCTGCGTTTTCGTATTGCCTTAATGTCGATCCTCGGTTCGAAGGTGCTCCACGAAACGCCCAGGTCAACAAAACCCAGGTCACAAATACCGTTCGCTAGAAACCGAGCCTCGGATTAATTTTACCCTGGATCAGAAGATTTTTCGCTAAAAATCCAATTTCCCTGCTACCGATACCTTTTTGTCTCGCCTCATTTCGTTCACCCCCGTTCGATTGCTTCGCCCTTCGTCCTGCAACGTCGTCGAATCTTCCCGTCGCTTACTATAATTATAGGAAATACTTTTCTTCTTCTTTATTTACCTTTATTTACTTTAACTGTCTAGATACTTCGTTTTTTCCCTATACTTCCGACGCTCTTCCTTCCGTCTGGGATTATCTTTTACCGTTTCTTATTTATTCTCTTTTTTTTTTATTCTTTTTCTATTTTACTCGATTTACCCTGTGTAGAAACGTTAGGAACCGACCGCGAGGGACACGACGCGATCGACCATCCAGAGACATCGACGAAAGGCGAAATTATTCGTGTAACGAATAAAAGGTAAACAGCTTTTTATTCGTTACTCGTAGAATGAGATTAGAAAATAAACTGTGCAATTGAATTGAGACTGGTACTACGGAATTAAATGCTTGGAGTTTCATCGCGTGAAACGCCACGAATAGAGACCCTCGAATTAAGTTTTTAGCCTCGGATGGATCGTTACGCCAGTTGTTATTCGACTAAAATTTCATTCGTCTCTGGTTGCCCGCCGTGTTCCGCCGGCCCGATCGCCCGTCGCGAGATTTGCATGTGTGATTGACTCTTTTTTTTTTTTTTTGGTTATTTCTCTTTTTTTTGTTTGTTCGCTTCGCGAGGCAGGGAACTTGGTCCTATGGTAGGATGAATTCGAATAAGACTCGTGAAGAAAGACGAGGAGAACTATTGGAACCGAAGCGTGCGTTTCGCGTTACAGTAGATCCTCGATTACTGCTACGCTACACTAAACTAAAGAGGGATTAGTGGTAGCCAGGAATTGAAAGTGAATTTGATAATATATAAAAACAAATCACTGTATATTCTGCAACCTCGATCGTTGCAAAAATACTCAGGACCCTTCCTTGCAGTAACCGAGGTTCTACTGTATGCATCGTTTGGGAGGTATCCATCGGTCAGGCTACGACGCAGAGATGAGTAAAATTCTTATCCAATCGTTTAGAATAAACAGTAAAACAACAATAACCTCATATCGTAACTTTACACACGTCTTACGTTAATCGAAGAAACTGAAGTTTCAATTGCAAAACGAAGTAGCTTAAAACGAATAAAATAAAAAAAAAATGTAATCGAATCAAATTTTGCCCACCTCTGCCACGACGAGGCCTCCCCCAATCATCGGGCCCCTCGTACTCCCACAAAAATTCCTCTTCCTCCCCCGTTTCGATGAAATCGCGTTCTCCGTACCCCGAAGTCGACGGAAACGCGCCGGTTCGTTTATGTTCGCCATGAAAAAACTGATGCAGTTAATAAGTAGTGATGATTTATTTTTTATTTCTCGTTCGAATAGCGACGACATTCGTCTGCCTTATTCTCCGCCCTGTTCTCCACCTCCCTGTCTCATTCGCTACAGGCAGTGCCATTATTTACAATATTCGTATAAACGGAGCCTGGGCATGTACGTATTTCAGAATCGATCTAACAAACGTCGTTATTTTAATCTTTTTTTTTTTCTTTGTTTTGTTTATTCCTTTAACTAGATAACGAGATTTTTATCTAGGGCCGTACACGTCTAACACCGAGACAACTATGTTGATATGAGTTTTCCATTTTTTTTTTTTATTCGTTATTAATTTACTCTCACTCGCACGTCGCACCGGGTTTTCTTTTCTTTTCACGCATACACGCATTCTCGTATTCGATCCCCGACGAACATCCAATCGTTTTCGTCTCGTTCGTCGCGAATCCGTCAACAAAAATCCGTCCCACGCATTCATGCCGGAAAAAAAGTCGAAGGACGCACACGCGATTCGTCGTTCGATCGCCGAAGTTCTTTATAACCTTATTGCCTAGATCGTTTTTATTTATTTTCTTTTTTTTTTATTTTTTTATTTAGGAACAGTCCCCTTCGAAAACGTTTACAACGAGGCGATTTTTTCTTCTTCTTAGGATGAACGAAACGGAAGGGAGAAAGGAAAACAGAAAAAAAAAAAGAAAAATGAAGGAAAATAAAAAGGAAAAAAAGAACTGTACACGTTAATGGAACGCAGACGATAAATGTGTCGTTTACGGCGACGTTGGTCGCGTCGCCCGGAAATATACCTCAGTCTTGGGCTGGAACGAAAGAACAGAAAAATCATCGTCGACCAACCGTCGCGCAGCCGCGAAAAGCGTCGACGATTTTCGCAGGATCAAGCTTCGATCTCGATCCAGCGAAAGCCGATCGGCGTGCTCGTCGCGACAATAAATATAACCAACGAACAAAACGCGCTACGATCGCGTCGGCGTGACCGTGGGACGCAGAGCTGGGCAAAAATTTACCGAGAGCATAGATCATCGAAGAAAAATAAATTGTAAAAATACAGTGGACATTTTAACCAACAGGTGGAAGCAAGAGAACCAGTGGCGCCAGACGAAGACGTGGCGCCACTAGTTTGCGTGCTCACCGTGCGCTAAAGCAGCTCTGATGTTCAGATTTTCATTCAGATATCGATAATTTATCGAACAATTACCGAGATCAATTTTATTCTTTCAACTAGAGACTGCAATAAGAGTATAATTAATAATTTGCTAGAGAATGAGTTCGTACTAAAGTGCCAATTGGTATAAAAAAGAAAAACAATAAATAAATTCTGAGTCGTTAAAAAACGAGCTTAAAACACATTTTGCCCGTTCCCGTCCACGAGACAACGTTACCTCGAATGGAAGCTCGCCTGACCGGTCACGTTCGACGAATCGTAGCGCGGATAAACCTAAACAACTTTGGCATTTTCTTAACCATTTAAAACAGCTTTCGATAATAATTTAATATATCGGGATAAAATAATGAAGACGGCGGCGTGCAGTCGCTGCAACCGCGTTAATAATAGTGGCAATTAATAATGATAATAGTAATAATAATAAAGTCAATAATAATAGCAATAATGACCAATAATAATAAATCGATAATAATAATAATAATATTAATAGGCAATAATAGAAATGGTAATAATAATAGTAGACAATGGAAGTCTCAATAATAGTACTATGATACATTTTACATATGATCGAGCTAGTGCTTAAAATCTACAAACGCAGCGCGTGTTTTTCCGTTGTCGTTACGCGTCGAACACTCGCGGCGTCCTGAACGTGAACACCGTTAACGGAGCTTTCGCGATAACGAGGTTCGGCGCTTATGTACACAGACAGGATTCGTCGAGGTCGCTTGATTCTCGTTCCCTCTTTCCCGCCCTGTTTCGGACAGGGGAACGTCTATTCGTTTAAAAACGACGAAAATAAAATAAAAAGAAAAAGAAAAAGAAATAGAAACGAAACAAAAAAAAAAAAGAATCTAAGAATCTCGGGCGCCGAGCCGTAACGTACAAAAAGATTTCCTTCGCAATTTTCCCACCGCCCCTTCTCGTCCTTTCCCTTTTGTCCCTAATACATACAGAGTGTCTTTGCAGGTCTCCATAGTATATAACGTAACGTACATATATATACATACACACCGCACGAGCGCACCTCAACCCCGAACCCACCCACCCACCCTCACCCCCGCATACATATATATACACATATATTACGTTATACAGTATGTATAATATATCTATCATTAAATAAATAATCTTCAAATGCGATAATAAAGTCACTATGTTCATTATCCTATGTATAATATTTATATTCTGTATAATTTTCTTGCATTTAGATTTCATATTTATATTCATATATATATATATATATATATTTATATATAGTTTTTATATGTATATATATATATGTATATATATATTTATAGCGTCTTTATTTATAACTATTTATAAGGATATATTTTAAATAACTGTACTTGAGACTCGCAAAGTGGTAACCATTCGTTCGTTTCTCTAGTTGAATTTCAAAACTCCCCAGAACGGTAGCCGTTCGCTACCCCTTTTTCCTCGTCGCGTTCACCGGAACCGCGCTCCTCCGGTCCAGTCCCCGTTAGGGAGAACACCCTCTCGCCGTTGGCTTCCGTCGAGCCGGAAGGGTCGCTTCCTCGTCGTTCTCCGTTCCTCCGCTCCTCCTCGGGACCTTTTCCAGGTCCACCGATCGACTCTGTCGACATCTCTCGATCCTGATTGGGAGCGACCACGGGGAACGTTTCGCGCGGACGATTCCCCGCGACACTCTTCGACGTCGCCCATGGAACGAGGATCTGTCGTTCGAGGACACCTACTTTCTCAGGACACGCCTTCCGTCTACTCTGTCTCTGCTCAATCTCCTTCGGAAGAAGCTCCGCTGTTCAGTACACCGGGTATGGCGGCCTGTGCGGCCACAGTGGCGGGATCGGCGGTAGGCTTCCGTTCCAAGATCAAGTATCCTTAGTGCTCAGCGAGGAGTCCTCGTCCTGACTGCCTGGATAAGGCATGCCGAGCTTCGGGCCCTGTTGCACCACCACCACGCACTTCCTCATGTGCTTTTCGAGCGTGCTGGGCACCGAGAACGGCATCTCGCAGAACCGGCACTTGTACGTGTCCTTGCCGTGTCTGCCGTGGGTCTTCATGTGCCTGGTGAGCTTCGAGCTCTGGGCGCACGCGTACGAGCACAGCTCGCACTTGTACGGCTTCTCGCCTGTGTGCGACCGCCTGTGAACGGTCAGATTCGAGCAGTTCTTGAACACTTTGCCGCAGTATTCGCAGGTGTCGTTCCTCCCGCTGCGCTCCTTCTTGAGCAGAGGGCTGGGCAGGCCCTGGAGCGCTAGGCTAGAGGTGGTGGCCTTGGTGGCCTTGCGGAACTCGTTGTTCTCTAGGTAGTGAGGACTGGGGAGCCAGAGACCGCCGAAATCGGGCCCCGTGGACCTGGGGAAGCCTTGACCGGAGAATATGTTTGGCGTTGTGGAGGAGTTGAAGTTGGTGGGCGACAGAGCGCTGTCCTTCTCTTTGTTGTTGTTGAGAGAGTTGGCGAGGTTCGAGGGCGACTCGGTCTTGATGAAGGCGCCACGATGGTTCTCTTGAAGAGCCTGTCGGTAAGCTTCGGAGTACTGAGCTATGTTACTCAGGCCAAATTTTTCCATCAGGTCGCCCACCAGGCTGGCGGGCTTTTGCTCGACTCTGCCGCTGCTTTCCTCTCCGCTTTGGCCCTGCGTGGTGCTCAGATCCTCGGGCGTGTTCTCCGTGTCTTCTCTCTCGGCCTTCTGGTCGTTCTCGTCCGCGTCGTCCAAGTCCATGTTCTCGTCGCAGCTAGAGCCGTCGTCGGGTACCGTCTCCACGCTGCCTTGGGGACTGGCCGCGTTCAGGTTCTCCTGGTGCTCCTTCCTCATGTGCTTCCTCAACTCTGCGAAACTGGCGACCTCCAGTTCGCAGACCTCGCACCTCGCGGCCGTCGCTTGGCCATCCTGCGTGCCCTCCTGTTGATACTGCCTCTCCTTGTCGCGGTGGCTCCGTCGGTGGACGATCAGGTTCGACTGGAAACGAAACTTCTTGTCGCACACCTCGCAGGTGTAGATCGTCTCCGACGCCGAGTCGGCGATGATTGGCGTGGAGGCGACGGGCGGACTGGTCTTTTCGCTGTCCGTCGAGTTGTTATTGTTGTGGTGACCCACGGGACTCTGATTGTAGCACGGCGGCGAGTTTTCTTTCTGATGATTAGGGTGGCCGATGATCGCGGGGTTGTTCGAGGCCGGGCTGGGCGGCTCGACGGACTGCGCGTGCGTGGGTGCCGGCTGTTGCGATTGCTGCTGTTGCTGTTGCTGCTGCTGGACGGTACTTGGCACTGGTACAGGCGGTACCGGGGCAGGGGGATTAGAGTTGGTCGTGGTGTTCCCGCTATTTGGTGGAGCCGCGCCTAAGGACGGATTAGCGAGGCTCCTTAGGCGCGCCGAGTAAAAATCCAGGTTGGTCTCTAGTGGAGGTGGATGCGCCTGGCTGGCTAGTCCGCGACCGTGCGACAATTCGGCAAGGTTCGCCAGGTTGCGGGCGTTGTTCAGGGAATCCAACGAGCTGCGAACCAGTGGATCCCCGAGGTTCAACCCGTCCATCCCTCGAAGAGGGTCTCCGAGGTTCTGGAGGTTTCTAGTGGCGGTCTGCAGCTCTTGTAAACCTCTGTAACCGGCTAGAGGATTCAGGGCCAGGAAGTCCGGCCTGAACATGGGCGGGAAGCTACGTTCTAGGTGCTGGGGTAGCCTCAGAAAGCTGTGGAGCGGGTCGCCCACCAACGATGCCGATGATTGCAGTTGCTGTCGTCCGCTGCTCCCGCTGGAGTTCGTCCCACCGGACGAGTTCGCCGCGGAGGAACTCCCCGTGGACTTGCCGCTGAGGTTCAAGTGATTAGGCGGGCTTAGGTGGTGAGCGTGGGTCGGCGTGGGCGTCGGAGGACTCGGTGCCGGCGTGTTCGAGGAGGAATTCGTCGACGACGACGGGGAGGTGTACAGTCTGGCGCCGTGCACGCTCTGCACGTGCTGGAGGAGCTCCCAGGCGGAGGACAGCCTCCTGGAACACTGCGAGCACTGCAGCCATCTCGGTTCTGGAACAGAAAATCAGTGGTTGGTTAGGCTTGGAGAGGTGCAACGTTTTGGCTTTTGAAAGTTGGATTTTTAATTGGGGATCCGAGGTCTTATATTTTGGAGGTTTTAAAAATTATTTGGTGTGCTTATGCTGCCAATTTGGCGAGGGTCGCTGAGGTGCAATTGTGCTGCGACACTTAGGGGGAGAGGTATGTGAAAATTGATTGCGTAAGAGGCTACCAACCATCAAACTGGCCGCAACTGTTTGAACTTGCGTTCGGACTTGCGTCACTTCTCGTCGAACTTCACTTCGAGATCGGTCGCGTCGACAGAGTTTCGACTTTTATGCATTCTTTACGTTTTATGTGTTTATATGTCGTGTGCCAAATACTTTAGTCTAAATAATAGTATACGTTAATCTTATGTGCAATTTGTTTGAGTCCTATCTCACGCCTGCTTCCTTTCCCTAACACCTTACAATTGCTCGTTAAAACTTTAAATGTTGCATAGCTTGTTGCTTGCATGTTAGATTCAAATTGTACCGAGTGTTGTCTTTCGTGTATCTTTTTATCAAGCAAATTGAAGGACTTTGAGATTAAAGCGAGACCTGACAAAGTGGGTGGTTGGTCCATGAAGACAAAAAAACAAAAAACAACTTCCTACTTTACGTTTTAACATTGACAGTTCCCAAATGCAAGAGTGATACATTAGGTACGTCTCAGCACTCTTATAAATAAAACTCATTCGCTCGCTCGCTTCTAACAAAATATCTTGTCACTCAATGTAGAAGCAATCGACAACTGAGAACAGAGCGAGTCGTCGATAAGCGCGAAGAGCGACGCTTATCAAACTTCGTATACGAAACTCGACCTATCAACTGTCAAAGCGTCGACTAAAAAGCTGTTCGAAATGCAGGAGATTGAAGAAAACATTGTGGAAACCTCCTACTTTACATTCCAACATCGACAGTCCCCAGCCTACGAAGCCTATTTCGAAGGTAGTTAGGCGTCCGTTTGAATTCGACGCGGCCGATGCGATTACGCGCGCGATAAGTTACGACAGGCTGATTATCGCGGGCCGCGATTGAAAAGCCTCGGCATGGCATCGGTGTGCGCTCACGCAGACGTAAACAGAGACAGGGTAAAAGCCCCGCTATCAATTTCCCGGGGCCACCCTTGATTTCGCGGAATCGGGTCCGCCGATTGAATTCGGAATTCAAACGGCGCGCCTGTGTCAAATTGCGGCCGAGGCGGCACGTTGCGTCGCGCTGCGGCTTAAAAATAATATCTCCGTGAAAGATGGTCGATGGCTGATGCGCCCCCGGGGGCGGTGGGGTGAGGGGGGGGGGGCGAAAGGGAGAACGACGGCGATGGGGGAGATCGGTTGCCGCAGCGCGGCTGAAACTGACCCTTAACGACTTCTCGACCCTCTTGCGGGCCGGGAACGCGCGCGGGAGGGACGTGGTTTTGAATTTCAATGTTTTTAATCCGGAATATCAGATTTTCGGTCATTTTTCACGCTTCGCAACGCCGCTGGGGTTGTCCGTGGGATTTTATTAATTCGGGGCCACCCTCGGCGAGGAAGACGAGCGGCGAAGGAAAGAAAGCGGAACAGACGTCCGTATGGCATCGCCATGTGCTCGAAAAACCACCCTAGTTTCGCGATTTGCAATCGTTGGTCCTTGGAAACATATTCGCAGACACCGTACTTCCGGATGTTAGGGGATGACTCCAGGCAGGATCGTTGGGTGGTAACGTGAATCATTTTTGGGTTGACGTATATAGTAAACTATTCGAAATAAGGAAACTTGACATGTTCATTCGTTGGTGATTTATTGAAATTAATTACTGTTTGTTGTTAACTAAGCCTTACTATATCTTTGTATTTAGAGAATACAGGAACAATTTATCGATGAAATGAATGATGTATTATAATAATCGTGTACCAACATTGTGAAAATAGCATCGTTAATAATCGACTAGTGTCAGTATTAATAAGATTTCCCAATTACCTCAAGGACACCAAACTCTACAGTAGTATATAGCACCGTTAATTAATCAGAAACCCAATCGGATTCGTCGCTAATTACCATGCTGTAGATGCGACGTAAGATAAATCCATATAAAAAAAAAAAAAAACAAACAGATTTCCCTGTTGTAGCAAGAAATAGAACAATTACATCGATCCCTTACAAAATCTTTTAAAACGCAGTTTGCAATCGACTATAAATGAGAAAAAACCGAATCACCGATAAGTGTCGCAAAACTCGACTGCGCGACACTTACCGAACAAAGTATGCGAAACTCGAAAAGCACGTGGATAGTCACAAATCCTGAAAAATTAAATCCACACTGATGCCGTTGCACCATTACTTCGAACCTCGAGGAAAAGATGACGACCTCGAATAATTTTCCACGAGATCGAAATGTGATATGGTTGCTGGTCCGGTACCAGAATAGAAATTCAAACGGCGCGCGATCGCACCAGGGAATTGGCAGACATTGTTCGTGGAAAGTTTTCGGTCGAGATTTGCGCGCGAGGTGGCGTCGAGGGGGCCGATTAAAAAGTTGGCGATCGTTTTCCATATTACGCCGGCGCCGTTCGGGAATGATTTAGCAACAGTAAGGAAAGTTGATTGGAGACAAAGGACCCGGGAAAAATAAAGCAGTCCTAATTAAATGGCTGTTCGAGATAGGGGGAGATCTTTCCGAGAGGAATGTCTCGGGGAGCGTCTTAAAGACAAACCTCTTCTAAATCAGGGCTTACTATTTACGCGAGTTTCTCCGGTTCGTTATACTTAACGAAATGCTCTCGTCGCTCCGTAGTTCTCTGAATCTTCACATAACGAGCATATCAACTTTTATCGAAGGGATTGCGAAATATTTAGTTGCACGGGAATATAAAACAATAATGGCAATAATAGGTATCGTGCTTATTGAATTCGTATCGTTGCAATGGAATGATTTTAAGGGTGAAATGAAAAATTAGTTGGAAAGAACAACTCCTTACGTCCAGAGAGAAAAAATATCCAAGTCTCTATGTTTCACAATTGCGGAGATAAAAATTCATTCGCGAAGTGAGTTTTCAGTTCAAGTAGGTAGAAGCTGAGGAATTTTAAGTGCTTTACTGTTAAAATAAATTTTCAAAAATTCTTCGAGTAAAATAATTTTAAAAAAAGTTACATCCTCTCTTCCCACAACTATTACGCCAACATATCGAGCAAGCTAAAATACCACGATTATCTAAAATTGAATCTTAAAGGGGGGTTGCAGAAAACATTCAGGAATGAGGCTTACGCGCAGGAGCGAGTAAAGTTAATGTCCAATAAATGAATCACGTTCCGTCGGATGCCAGCGACAATGCGACAGGTAAACAATGAATCCTAAATTAAATTAGAAACAAGTCGGGAACGTCAACGTTAGTAAGTGATAGGACGCTGAACGACAATACACAATGGAACACATATCGCCGCATGTAACAAGGTGCTAAGTAGAATAACGAGGCTGACGGTGGGCGACGGATTTTTCTTCCGCGCCTCGCTGACCTTTCACCACGATTACGCTTGCGTTTACGCGTCGCAGTGAGAAACGCTCGCGGAATGAAAGATGGAAATGCCTACGATCCTTGCCCGATAACCTCTCGACGAGGGAACGACACCTCGGCTTCAAAACTGGTCAGAGACTTGACCAGAGCTGCCTCGATCGATAAGCAATCGTTCATCGGTTACTCGATCGTTCATTTCTCCGCGTTTCTCCGTTGGGAAAATTTTGTATTCACGATGGATAGCAAATTATTATTATACTGTTGCGAGTACCCTTTGGATGGATCCAAGGTCTGCTGGTGCTCGCGACAGGAAGAAGTAGACAGCGAGAAAAAGGCGATCGGATCGATCGCCTATCAAGCTGTCAGATTCGACCGAGACGCCTTTGAGTGCAGACGTTCCGAAACTAGCATATAAACTTAATTACATTTCTATTGTACAAACCCTGTTACATAAAGTTCTCGATATGCCTAAACCGCTTTGGGTTACAACGATTCATTAGAAAATGTCTTAAAGCGATACATTGCAAGCGAGAATAGAGCGGATCGTCGATAAGTGTCGCAGAATCACATGCTGCGACACTTATCGATCCGAGTATGCGAAATTCGAAAAACATATGGGTGGTGACTGAGAATTTTACGAATTTACAACATACTTGTATGGAAAAAGTACATAAAATGTACGTACATGTTGAATACAATCTACAGTTAATATAATAATATTGTTATGCAAGTTTGCGTAAGTGTGCATTGTTGATTATTAGACTGCGGATTTTTATGCATTTATAGTAAATTTGAATGTGCAAGAAAGTACAAAATGCAAACAATATGCAAGAGTATAAAAAAGATTACATGTTCATTGTACTAATATACATGATAAATGCACAAAATTCGTAGGCCAACGATTTACAATATTTATTTTATCTATTAAAATCGTCTTTAGATTGATATTTGTATAACATTTCACAATGACGTAGGCGTACCTAGATAATTTACGTAAACTATATTCTATTAATGAACCAATCTAACATTAATATTTCGTTTTGAAAAAGGGAATGTAACTTTTGATTACGTTTAACATATATTTCTAATATTCAATTCTATCATATATACAATATATACAATATATTCAATATATTCAATATATACAATAAACTCTGCACTCCAGTCCTAAAACACGTCCGAAAAAATTTAACGAGGGAAAGATAAACCGCCAAAGGGAACATTACCTGAGAAAGCTGTTCAAAGAACACCAGAAAATTCATCGAGTCATCGATTAGGGCCTTTTTTGGGCTCCGAAAGTCGATTGTTTCGAGGAGCGGATGGACGAGAAAATTAGAAAGCGAGGAAAGGGACCAGTCACGGCTCGAACGAGGGGTCAACACAGTGGCGAACCGTGAAAATTTGCCATATTGTTTCGCGCCTCCGCCCTTGCGGCGCCCTTCGCGATGTTGGCTTCCTCCTTGGCCCCGGAAGTCGA